CGTATCAACCTGCCACTGTCACGAATCCCGATGGAAAGCCCTGTTTGAATTGCAATTCACATCGGATATGTTTTGTGTGGGTGTAATTCCTATGTCCTTCCTTCTGTTAACTCGTAACATGAGGAAGTTGGTAATATTCATCACATTTATTTCTCGCAATACCAACGTCGTTGTAGAATATGATGAACTGTAACGGTTAGGTCGGTCCTTGAGGTGCAACAGTGGGTGTTTGGTCGCTGGGTGAGGTCTGAAAAGCAAGTTCACTTTACTGTTATTTCCAACTTGAAAATACCTTGTACCATCACCGCGAGTCCATGACCTGGCGAGGTGAGCACTGTTGCAGCATCCCAAGTGTAGCACTACCGCCAGTTGAAAGTGCACAGCAACAAGGCTGGAGGCTTACGCTAACTTGATATTTCTTACCCCACAGTCTGACACGCGATACGTGCACAACAGTCACGCCATACGGCCAGCCACACACCTTACTGTAATCACACAGCTGGCGGTATGCCGAGGCTGGGCGAGGTCAGGAAGGGGAGTGGAGACAAGGTTGCCGTATTTCTCGCTTCATTGCGGCATTTTTTCCGAATGGCGAGTCTGATGGGACCACCCACCTGGCCCCCAGAAATAATCGACCTTCGGCAGCGTAGACTTCGGGATGACGTGTGTCGACGTGCTACCATGCGCCGGCCGTTAGTATTCTGAGAAAGTACAGAGGTATAGGAGGGTATCAGACTGTGTGAAGGCAGCGCCTACCCTCCTGCTACAGTATACTCTGTCAAAATACAAGCGGTCGACGTCAATCGGTATCGGTCTGGCCGAGTAATTACTTGTGCTGGTACAAAATTTTGATTACTTTGTCGGGCTACCGTTAAAAAGTCCAATCTCAGGGATAAGTAACTCACTGGTGCAGCAGCAGGTGTAGGATTGACTATAGGCGCGCTAGCCTGAGATTTATCCTCTGGGAGCTGTCCTTGTTGTGGTTGTTGAGGTGGTTGTTGTTGTTGTGATTTTGCTTTGAAACCCTGAAGGAATAGTCATCTTTGAGGCCTAGTCATTGTGAAGACTTCTGTTAGTAAACGGCTAACCGTGAACGGCTTAATAAAATCTTTGTCGGCTTTGGCATTCACTGCGTTTGGATCACTTGCGATTACAGGACACGGTCTAGCCTTTGGTGCCAGATTCGCAGCAATTTGCATTTTGAGCTGTTGGAAAGTGATCTGAAAGTAAGTTCATTCAACAGGAGTTCCGCCATTGATATTAGTTCACAGTGGGGTTCGAACACGGATGTTAAGGTGCTAAACAGCATAAGGTTCAGGACAAAAGCGGACCCGAAAACGCCTCCTCAACCTACACGCCCCACTCTCATCTTCCTCTCCTTCCGATTTTTAGAAAAACTGTCGATTGACCAAATATCAGGTGGAAAAAATCTGACCGTGCGGTAGCGCGGGCAGAGTCGGGAGGCGGCACGCGAAGTGTCACTACCCCCAGTCCCGTTACCATGCAATTTTGAGCGGAGGTGGCAGGCTGCTGCAGCTGCGGACCCGCTTCACCTCGCACGATGGTAAGTAGCAGGATTCGCGGAGGTGAGTGTACGGTTTGCCTTTGGATTGGTTGGGTTAGAGACGCCTCCAGTGGTACGACGGATAGTGCAGCCCATAAAGCGTGAGGTGCAGGTTCGAGTCTTGCCTGGGCCGTGATCTTTACCCACTCTCCTGATAGCTTCGCTGGGGTTACTCCATATCTTTTGTCAGTACCAGAAGAGTCATAGTAGCACGATACAAGATCTAGAAAGATCTTCTCCACTGTAGTGCAGGGTCTGACGACTAAGGACTTGGAGTGGGGTATACCATACTTTGCAGAAAGCATAGGGGGTCGTATTTGACCGCTGGATAGAGAAGGTCGTACTTTGCGATAGAGAATATTTCTCTGACTTCAGGATTTTCTCGTTTTGGAAGCGCTATACTATGTACCTACCCCCCCCCCCACAGGGATCGCCGTTTTCTAGGTGAAAATGACGACAGGGGAGGTTAGCTTGTGCCAGGGGTGTAGGTGTTGAACCAAGAGAGAAAGTTAGGGGGAGGATCGTATTTGGCAGAAATGCTATACAACGGTGCCCGTTGGTTGGCTAAGGCCCGCCACCCTCCCTCTGTCAACCCAACGTGCAGGTGAGTTTTCCAACTTGCTTACCTCCAAATCCTCATCTAAACATACGATTGCTGCTGCATTGGTGAACTGTCCACAGTAATTGGGTGCTGAGAATACGGTAATCAGCCGGCGTCCAGCCATCATTTCGTAGCCGTCTTGAACGACCTGAAAGGGTGATTTCACATGAATGAGCGGTTTTAATGTTTTCGAGAGTGAAAGATGGAAAGCTCCAAGTCAAAGCGCTAAGGTCTGAAGTGCTATGGGATGTTCGATATATCCTATTCCTTTATCCTCACCTGATGAGCCCGAATGATGAGTTCAATGCCAAGCATTTGACAAGCCTGCTGTACGACTCCTTTCCCAAACATGTAGCTGATTCCTGAAAAGATGTTTTGGTTTCGGCCGTGAACTGCTTTGATACCTTTGATGGGCTGTTTTCAAATGTAAGGGATAAGCCTTTTAGGACTATGACCCAAAGTTACCCCTGGGCGCTCACCTCTAATGAGTGAAACCATCCATCTCCCTTGTTTGTAGGATCGGCCCATGTGAGGTCGATGAGTAAACCACGATCCAGGGGTTCGCATGGACGAGGAATGTTCCGGATCACGTCGAGGTGGTTAAGCTCTGGTGAAAGGCCGCCGTGCATGCAGAGGACCTAAAAGCAACTGGATGTAATGGTGAAGCTCTGCCGATTTGTCAATCTCGGCACTGTTCGGCTTGGGAGTGGTAGTTTGCACTTTTGCTTGTTACTTTTGTTAGTTTTCTTCAACTAACAGTCTTATTTTGGTGAGACCGGTAGACTCTTGTGTCTGTCTTGTGAACCTGCAAAGCTGAAGGTGCCATGGTTCCACTGCAGTTACAAGAATTTACACATCATCACAAAGTGACTTGTTTAGGGATCGCTGAGCAACAACCGGTGCCCCCACCAAGCGCCTCAGTCTCCTTTTGAGGCGCACCCCGCTTTCCACTTCAGCATTCTGGAGGAGTTTTGACCTCAACAATAACTTGTGTGGGTGATCCTCCGAGTGTTTTTACCCCAACAGATAACCCTGACACCATTGGTGACTTCGAAGGATGGGCGGGCTTGATTTTCAGGAAAACTGAGCAACCTGAAAAGCAGGCTTACGGCCTTGGAACTGAAACCAGGGGTATGGCTTATATACGGCCAGACTTGCCAAGGCTACTTTTCATGCTGACAAGGTCGCCATGTAAAGCAATAGCTGCGAACAGCAGCTCCCTTCCCTCCAGCAACAGTTACCCCCTCCCCCACCCGTGGAGATCCCCGACGTACGATCTGTTTGCACACTCCCTCTTTCAGCTTGTTTCCCCTATGTGAACCATCTAGTCTAGACATAGCGAATCCGGCAAGAAACCCACCTTTTTAGAGATGAGTCCAGCAAGAGGTATTCTGTTGAAGCATGCCTGAAAATCCCACCAAATTCCAGCACCGTACTTCATGACGCATTCGTTGTAGAAGCCATAGATCTTATTGACAGCCGGCGTTTCGTGATTGCCTCGCAACAAGAAGATCCGATCACGATAACGAAGTTTCAGCGCGAATAGAAGAATGATAACCTGAATTCTAGTATGATCGCGCGTAATGTGACGGTCACTTAAAGGAGTGGTCCGCCATGACCTATGAAAATGCAAGAGGTTATGTGGGAAGGTAGTGCGGTCCGGAGTGGACAACTCTGTGCCAGT